TGTTAGTGCTCATCAAGTTCAAAAAAATACTTCTACCTACAAATTAGGAAAACCACTAAATCACAAAGAATTAGCTTTTAGCCTTACACTTTGTAATGCTAAAGGGCGTCTTTAAAATGAAAGGTCTATTAACTATTGCATCTTAGGCTTTGAAAGAGAACAGGCAAAAAAAACTGATCCTGGAAATTTCCTCTTCATGAAAAGAAAGGAAAGAAAACTGCGTACGTGTCTTTTTTCAACCACTGACGAAAAGCACTATTCAGTTCCATTTTCCCTCTCTTACAAAGATTCGTCGACTGCAATGTTGTGTCACTTTAAGTTCCTTTTACCCTTTATACCATTACATCAGCGTGCATATCTTCCATACTGTTCTGTACACATATCGTATGGTATCGACAAGGGGAATTAGTATGAGAACCAACCGCATCTTTCAGAGGTGATCGTTTGACATGGTATATACCACACAGGTAAATAGTGCTTTTCGCGCACGCTGATTGGCTGATTCGAATGTGATTAGCAAGTACTATTCACCTCCGCTTCAGTGAATAATTGTTAACTATTCTAGTGACCTTAATGTTTGAGCCGGCAATGACACTGCAAGGAGAAATAAGATCCAAGTAACTACAAAATGTTGAAGGGTTAAGTCACCATAAGTCAAGGTTGCCTCAAGTGACGCCGACGTCCCAATTCAGGCCTTACGTTAAAACACGGAATACATCTCAGCACGCTCAAATGATGCTCTTTAGAACGCTTACCATCGCTATTCCGGTCTCGTTACTGTAGGTTTCCCACTGTAAGCCGTCTGAACTGTAATTGAGCATGTAGTCTGTTACCCAGGTCCCCATGCTAACAGAACCTTGTGTCGCGACACCAGAGATATTACGTAGTTCTTTCAAATCAACCTGTGATAAGAGTGAAAAACTCATCATTTCCTGTAATACTTTTTCCCAAACCATAAACCGTCTGATATATTAGGTCCTTCGAGCCTTGTGGGCTTTTATCTTTAGAGCTTGTCCCTTTATTACCCATGAGGCCATTGGGGGTATTGTCCCTCCTCCTGGTTGGGATATCAATCCATAGAAGGTTAAGCCCGGATTAGTGACTGATCATCGTGAGAGTAATGTGCCTTTCCCAAGAAAGGAATGCACTGAATCTGCTGGGGTTAAAACCGAGACTTCTCAATCTAGAGTCCAGTAAGCTAACCACACCTTCCTTCCTCTACAGAACAATTTTCATTACATTCTTTGGTTTTTCTCTAATTCGCTTTGTGATTGGTTCAGAAAACTTTCACCTCTTTCTCGAAAAATCGGATCCAAACCCAAACTGACCAATCAGGATTTGGCCACATGCTATTTCCCGCGCTTGAATTAGTTTGCCCGTGCGCAAACAGAGCAGTTGTGTGTTTCAACTTGGAATTTTCATTGGTTGCACAAGATATTTTCTTCTCCTCTGATTTGCTGTTGTGATTAACTTGGCCTTGGTTTCATGAGATTTAATCGAAAAATACTCTAACAAAGAGTTGCAGAGGTAATCTTAACCCCAGGATTTAATAAGTCCATTTAATCAATGGATAAGATCCGATGCCTAGACAACGATACTTTATGCTAACAATGTTGAAATATTAAGGATGTACTAACGGCCACTTTTCCTTAAGCTTCAGTTTCACGTGTTTGCTAAGTACCCTTAATCTATGACAGGAAAACCCAATAATAATAATAATAATAATAATAATAATAATTTATTATATACAATGGATATGTGAAGTTCATATATTTGTTCATATGTATCTGATTTATCATCACGGGTTTATTACGAATCAACTTAACGGCCTGCTCCCAGTTGGCTTGTTAGCTCAATTGATAGAGCGCTGCACTAGTATCGCAGAGGTCAGTGGTACGAATCCCGTACAGGCCTGATTTTTTTTTTTGGTCTGATTTTCGCTATTGCATAAATAGCGCTATCTACTGCGAAGGATCGTGCATCATACGTAAATAATTTATTATATTAGTTTATTTGTGCGCTTTTTAACATATAATGATCAAAAGCGAATTACACTTGTTTACCCTTTATACTTAATCTATTTATAACTTCGATCGCTGAGAGTCCCATCTCCCTATCCTTCCCTCACCCCTCCCCTCAGAGATATATGCATCGATTTCCAGTCGACAGGCCAAATTTTGTTACCTGGATATACTGAGATGCGTCCTCGTTCTGTGCACACCAACTTCCCCAAAAAGCGGAACCGTTGACCTGCTTGAATGCGTTATTGAGGCGACCTTGATACGGGTGGTGCCCCTGAATGTAACTGGACGCTGCCACCTGTTCATCTAGTATCTGGCCTCTTTCCATTCCGGCAGCAGTTCTGCAGTCTTTATATTCACCCTCTGTGGATGGATTAGCAGGGGAAGTTTAATATCTCAATAGCGTAAGGAGAATAAGCCATTTCCGAATTACGTTTGGCCTCTTTTTGAAAAAGAGGCTAAAGGCAATTCGGAAATGGGCTATTTTCAAGGGAAGTAGAGGGGCCTTAAGTATACATCATTTGGAAGCATACCATGTTGTTTAATTTACTATGAATTATCGCGTTTTTTTTTTTTTTTTGACAAAGTAGAGGGGGAGGAGGGGTTCGAACACTAGTGTCTTACTGGTTTAACTGGTATCTGGGAGCACGCCGGGTTGATTTATTTCTATAATCTTTCACTTTTCATTGACAAAGCTACGGACGAAAGAGTCCTACATTAACATTTCACTGGCATTTAAGAACATTACAGGTTATTCATTATTTTAAATCATAATTTTTTTTCTTGATAAAGCTGAAGGGGGCGGGGGCTTCACCAACATCTGGAGACACGTCAGGTTGTTTTATCATCATAGATTATCACATTTTCTTGATAAGTAAGGGAGGGAGGGAGGGGGGTAGAATCCATCTTAGGGCCCCCCCCCCTTAACTGCGTTCTTCCTATGTACCTTGTAACACATGAGAGCTTTAGTTCAGAAAAGGAGAATCTTTCACATCTTGGCTTTTGTAGTTCAAGATGTTGAGAAAGTTTCTTAATGAAGTGTAGATTGCTGATTTAGATAATGATATAGGGACAAGTGTAACAGGAGAAGCATTCTAAAAGAACGCGGCGCTGAAACACGCAACCATCTGTAATGCTGAGCAACGAAAAACGTGTAATGCGTGCGAAAGAAAAATGTGAACTGTGACTGAGAGACGTTTGATATTACCTTCTGTGTTGCAGCCATACATTTCAACTCTCATGCAAACGATGCCATACTCATTCCATTCCAGCACACGTATCCTAATAAATCGTGCTATGATAGCTTTATCCAGCTTATTTGTCATTACAGAACTGTCATCCTTGTTGCCAACCAACTCCTAGGTGAATAAGATATACAAAAACTTAATGAGAAAAGTAGAAGAATAGTGAATTAAAATGTCATTTTTTTTAGCTTCGAACAGGCTAACATTGACTCAGAATTTGTTCTAAATAAACGCTAAAACTTTCATTTCTTATCAAGACGGACATTCGCGTTTGATGTACCGTGGCCTTGTCCATTGTTTGATAGGTTTTCCAATTCAGCCCATCGCAACTGTAGTTCAGGGAGTACTTTTTGACCCAGTTTCCCGACGGATAGTCCAATCCTTGAGTGGCTACAGCAGTTATGACACTTTCTTGTCCAAAGTCAATCTGTAAATATGGATTACGATCCCAATCCGTTGCACACCAGCCGCCAAAGATTTGGCCATGGAGGCGTCTACATTGGACAAAAAGCGATCATAGTAATTGAAGAGTTATTTTGAGTTTTGGGTTTGCTGTTAGATTTCAACGGTGGCTACACTAAAAGTTCATGAGGTATCATTTTTTAGAGGAACTCTTTTCAATACTGTTCAAATTTGATGTAGCCTAAAAGTTCATGATCTAAGCCCTAATGTGAGCGGAAAATTCCCTTCAAGTCTACCGCGGAGTTAGTTGATGTGGTGTTGTTCCTTTGCAGTACAAAGTGGCCTTAATTAATGATCACTTCTGTAGATGAAACCCTACTGTGTGACCATAGAGAGCTATAGCACCGCGTTTACGTGAAACGGTAAACGCCAGTTTGCCCTTTCAAGTTTCACGTAAAATAACGTGAACCCGGCTGCTTTAGCTTCACGTGGGCTTATGTCATAGGGGATTTGAAGGCGTCCCTGTATGACTGAATAAAATAGCTTTGGTGCCCTTTTCCGGCAATGAACTTCTACTCTGCGAGAGAAAAAGTTTAAAAATCTTAAGTACACAGCAAACGCGAAACAGGTTACTTTCACGAAGAAAAGGCAAAGCGCAACCGGCAAACGTGAAAAAAATGGCGGGAAAAACAGGGTCACGTGGTTACTCTTGACGTTCACGGTTTACGTAATCGCGTTGCTAAATCTCTCTTATAACTTTTTTCCTTCAAACTCCTAAGCAATAATTTCATGTGATGCTGTTTACCCATATTGCGCTAGCTAAGGAGGCACTATCTTTAAGTTCGACTGTGCGTTGCAACTCAAATAAAACTATGAGGAGTACATCCGTGTCGCTTTGTTTATTACACCTTGTTTAGTGATTTCTACGAGTTATTAGAGTGCTAGTGCTTGTAATAGCTTAGGTCAGCTTTTCGTGGTTGTGACCAACCTCGTTCCCAGGGCGAAAAGCGCCCTGAGAAGGAAGTTGAGTTGTGACCCGTAACACTTGGAGTACCCCCGACGGGTTCTCGGTTGGTGAGCCTTAGGAATACTAACGTAAGTTAGTTCATTCTGAATGTGACTCAAAGACTTGCAATTGCGTCTCTCAGCTCACCTCGTGTTCCAAAGTCTGCCGGCGAATGGCTGCGTCCACTCTGAGAATGAAGAAGAGGCAGTTATTTGAGAATCCCGGATGTCGCCTGTGATCATTCCCAAACCAAGACTGCAGTCTAGAAGAGAAAAAAACACATTCCTATTTGAAACATTTCAATATGTATCCGTCCAAGATTTAGTGATTTTTCCTTAAGCCTAGTGTTTGAAATTTCAGAGTCAGTAAACAAACTATCAGCTGAATTTGCGATAAGCCACCTTTGAGATAACCACGCCCGCGGGGTAATTTTGTCTCACCACAAAACCATGAAACCAAATACGAAAATATCACATTCATGAATCAAATATAACTCACTATATCAGCATAAGTGTGTATTTCAACTACTCTTTTATCCGCCTGGTATACGATGGCAACAATTGATTTATGATTTTAATACCCCGGCGACAAAAGTCTTGTTGACCATGTTCTGTTGAAGGTGTGACTGGAGGAAACTATGAAAAGTATTCTGTCACTCCTTTGTTTGTTTAAACATTAAAAAGAATGTTCTGTTCTAAGCGTTTGGAGGAGAGACATTTGGTTTGCCTTTCAGTTCTCGAAGCTACTCGGCGCAGTTGCTTTACAACGATTAAATATTTGACTCGGTTTTAACTTCTCTTTCTTAAAAGACTATTATATGCCAAAAGCTTATGGGGTTTTACTTTACTATTTTATTTCACTGTTCAGTTATTACGTTCATAAACTGAAAAAATAACTGAAAAACTCTATACAAAACTAGGTAACTGATTATACAATGCTTGCTTAGCCTACTACTGCTTGCCAAGATTTTTATTCCATTTTCATCGGCTAGAGGAGTGGGTTAAAAAGTTGTAAAGAACCGTACAAAAGTTTTTTTTCCTTGATTCTCTTGGCAAACAACTAAAAATTATTTTCAGAATGAACACTTCTGTCACTGACTGAATAATTAGCTCTTACGATATGGTCCGTCTATAGACCACTTTCATAAATGGCTGCCGGATAAATATTCTTTTGTTTAAATTTAAATTAGCCCTTCTGGCCTCGTTCTCCAGTACAAAATTCAAAAGAATACATTATCTCAAGCGAGGCCAGAAGGGCTAATTTAAATTTAAACAAAAGAACATTAATCCGACAACCATTTATGAAAGTGGTCTATACCATCCACTTCGTATAGATATCTTAAGCAGTTTGTGAGAAAAGGCTGAAAGTTTCTAAAGAAACTGTGGTGCTGCGTCGGTGGGGGTAACAAGGTAATTTGGTTATATCAACTAAGTTGAAATTGTAAATTGGCCACCGTAACGAATAAAAAAGCTGACGTTTCGAGCGTTAGCCCTTCGTTAGAGCGAATGGAGGACGTGGGGTGTATGTGGGTTTATATGCAGAAAGTGGAGCTACGCTATTGGTGGGAACATGGTTACGAAAAAAACACGAATAAATTAGTGGAATGAAAAGCGTTCGTTGATACCTGTGGGATTAAGAGTGCTGATTTGAAAGATAAACTTTTGTTTTTGTATAAACCCACATACAACCCACAATTCCTCCATTCGCTCTGACGAAGGGCTAACGCTCGAAACATCAGCTTTTTTATTCGTTACGGTGGCCAATTTACAATTTCAACTTAGTTGATATAACCAAATTATTAGTTTGTAAGAAAGTTCGTTTAGGAGTTTGCTAAACCCGGAGCAGTTTTTATTTTCCTTTTTTTCACTTTCAAAAATATTTAGAGAGCTATGAGTCAAGAAAAGGCGGAAACTTCTTCTGAAATCGCTTATGTTTGACGGTGTTTCCTACGCAAAAACCTTTCCGATCGTGTTATCAGTACCTGTCGAAAAATCTTCACTTCCCTGCGTAGGTTAGAAGGGACTAACCCCTCTGATCTGAAATTTCTCAAGCTTCACTTTAAATCGTGAATGTTGAATCTTATTGCCATATTGAAGAAAACTCCTAATGAAAACTGCCCATCTATAATGAGTGTTATGATTGCCGAAAGAAATTCCCATATTAGACGTGGTTGGATTCCCATTCCCGTCACGGAGGTGTTTTTTAAAAACACCGATTAGATCATCATGGAGGACTCACTTAGGTATGTGAAATGTCGCGACCTGTTAGATAGCGCTCCTCTCTTTATGGCGACAGTCGTTGACAGTAATTAATAATCATTAATCTTGCTGTTTGACAGCCAATCTTCAGATGATATCCGGGGCAATTTTGCGCCTGCCCACCGAAAGAACATGCAATGCCCCTTTTACACATCATTAATCACTTGGAGATTTCAGGCGACGAGCCGCCCGGAGAAATCTACGCTTATCTCTCAAATTCAGAAGGCATTTTCAAACTTGATGATATGTATGCGTTTTGTTCGGAAAAAAGGATTTAATCGGAACGGAGAAAAATCAAAAAGCAAGACAAATGGGATACCATTTGTATTGCCCCTTGTGTTTAGGTGTGCGATTATCGTTTGAATAAATGCCGAAATTCCATTATTGTAAAGTAGGACCTTATTTTCGGCCTTGACTACACTTATGATTATTCAAAACATTTTCAAACCCATATGTTTGCGCTCCCTATTTCAACTGGCATAGCACTCGTTTAGCGAATACTTGAAAACTCGCTACTCTTTTGAGAGCTCCAGGTAGAAAGTAGCATTTTCTAGTTGACAATTAGATTAGTTTCAGAGATCCTCTAACAAGGTGGTTAATCTCTTTGTAATCCTAATTTGTTGGTAAGGGAAGTCGCTTGTTTGAAGTTGTTATCCTGAATCACTTTTAGTCAGAAAAATCCCGCTCATTCATCAGTGAAACATACTCAATGTCAACTCAAAGTTAATTCACTGTAAATTCTGTTACAACTCTTCTATTTAAACGATTTTGTTGCTTTTCAAATACCGGGAGCTTACGCTCTTTCTCGACACGGGAGAAGAAACAGTTCAAAGTTTTATCGGTCTATAGACAAGTCGCAATAACTTTGAAACAGCGAAATAGCGTCAAATGAATGCATCCCTTTTAATACCTTACGAATTCAAGTTACGAATTTAGCAGGCAGAACCTTATTCTAACTCACTTAATCTGTTTATCGTGTTTCAGTTGCGCTAACACATGAACGTGTGTCGGTAGGGTTTTATGACTTGGTATCAAATCGCTAAAACATTGCATGCAACTGTATCACGGCTTCAAGTGTTTAAGTTTACTCTTTGACAGTATCTAAAATTCATCCGTGCATCGTTTAACTAAGTAGATAACTTTCAGTTCTTCCCGATCGATTTAGCAGCTGATTATAATGTATGGCACGCTTAGAACAATTTACCTTCCACAGTCACATAATCCGCTGAAAAAGTGAAAATACTTACCAGATCGCACAAGACGAATGGACCAAAGAACGAAAGCCACGATTAAAGCGGTTGAAGCAGACATCTTTTCTTTCTTCAACAATCTAGAATCCGAAAAATAAAGCTGTTTAACGTACCAAAGAGGAACCAAGCCAGAGCACACCAGTCTGGATCTTCTTGTTTAGTCGTTGTGTAACAATACCCGACTGGTCGGAAAAATAAGACGATCATTAATCTTCGTTAATTACCGCTCTGTCGTAATGGTATGCATGCTATAGATTTGGTTTCCTGATATTTACTTTACCAGCCCGAAGAGTCTTTTTGTTCTGTAAAATCGTAAATCAAACCTTGACGAAAAAGACTCTAATATTTCAATTTTTAATTTAATTAAGACAGCTAAGAGAACATGATGTTCTTGAGATATCTCTGCCGAACTTTGCCATCAAAATAGGGATTTGTTTATGTGTTATGAAAACCTATTGCCCCCTTAATATGTTCATCTACTGGAACTTCCGAAATCCGTTCTACCCATGGATAAACTATTTCATGTGATCTATATTTTTCTGACCTCTTTAGGTTTTACGAAAGCTGGCGCATAATTGATCCTATCGCTGTCTTTATTCCGCTATAGTTGCCTTTCCGTCTCGCTGAATTTTCTTGTCTTTTTTGTTAAGATTACTACTTCTTTTCAACTTCGTTCCCAGGGCCTTTCCCCGCCTCACCCCCAAGCAAGGGAAAAGACCCTGGGGACGAGGTTGGCGTCTTGTGACACGTTTGGAAAATTGGGCATGAGCAATCAAGATTGATCGTTAGTTCCTACCTTATGAATAAGGGCTGATAGTTTCGAAAGAAACCGTTTGGGGCTGCGTCGGTGGGAGTAACGAAATAATTTGGATATATCAACAAAGTTGAAATGGTAAATTAGCCACCGTAATGATTACAAAATGGCTAATTTACCATTTCAACTTTGTTGATATATCCAAATTAGTTCCTACCTTAGCTATCCACTTTATTCACCATTCGATACCTGTGCGTATTTTTCTGACTATTTGCGAAGAAGTATAATGAATCTGAGAGCGCAAGGGTCCTCTTCTTACAGCATAACAGCAATGTCGATCTTTGAGTGAGACTAGAACTTAACAATTATCGGTTGATACAATTTGTTTAGAGGGTGGGGTTAACCATTTGCCGTAAAACGGCGAAAAAAATGGCTGTTAGCCATGAAAATTGACAAATGTTAATCGTTAATCAAAACCATTGCAATTATTTCCTCAAATGCGATTGATTAACTGCTTCATGTTTCACTTATTATTCTGTAGAGCTGTAATCGGACATGACAGTGCAATCAAACAGTTGGCAATAATCAGCACCTGTAATTGGACAGTTAAAACAGCCAATCATACAGAACCAATTTACTTACTTTAGTAAATCCACCAATTACAGAACTGGCTAAAATAACCATGGCAAAAACCACTTACCCCACAAAACTAGGGAACTTCCAAAATGGAGGAATGACTCTATTGGAGATATTTTCTCAAATAAATGTACTTGTTTTTCTTTTTCGGAAATTGTAATGGCTATGATTAATTGTTAACAGGACTTCGTACTTCGTGTCATCTAATTCAGTTTGTAATCATACTCGGACTCTCTCCGAATTTGTAATCACTCCAACCTCGTTCCCAGGGTCTTTGCTGTTCAGAGTGTACCACATCAAGAAAAATGTACTAGGGACTCTCAACCTGTCTTTCAAGTAGTCTTCTATTCTCTGACACAATCCTACTTACGTCAAATTCACTTCCCTGTGGGTAATTCTGGTCGACTGACACCTCTGTACTTCTCTCACTGACTCCGAAGTATACGGTGGCCCACAACGGTGTTATGTTATGTTGTATTATGTTCACAACTGTCACGGCGAAAAGAAATCGCTCACGGCGAAAAGAAATTGCTCGCGGCAAAAAGAAATTACTCGGCGCGGCAAAAAGAAATTACTCCCGGAAAAAAGAAATTACTCACGGCAAAAAGAAATTACTCACGACGAAAAGAAATTACTCACGGCGAAAAGAAATTTCTTACGGCGAAAAAAAATTTCTCACGGCGAAAAGAAATCCCCGGGTCTTACGGTGAAAAGAAATTCTTCACGGCGAAAAGAAATTCTTCACGGCGAAAAGAAATTCTTCACGGCGAAAAGAAATTCTTCACGGCACGATGGAGCACGATGTTTTGCAGCGCTTGCGGGCATTGTTTACGGAATGAAGATGAGTTTTGCTCTCAATGCGGCAAAGGTGTGGGATTTGGAACCTACTAATTGTGAAGACAGACTTTTACACGATGGTCTTTAAAGACTGATGTTTGCTTGTGCACTGTGAGGTATAATGTATTGAATAGACGTACAGGGGAAAGGCTTTACGCCAAATGTGAAAAAACTTAGGGAGGAATTCAAGAACTTCAGATTTTAAAGCAACAGTTAGCGTTGCCTTAGGAACACAAATCATAGTACCTCTATGACAAATTGATCGTTGTAATCTATATCTTATCGGTTTGAAATTTGTTTTTGATCCACGACTCACTTTACTTTAGTTGTTTCGCTACCAAATGCAGTGCTCAGGAAAAGAGAAAAAAAACCTTTTGAGCCTCTTAATAAAACATCAGCTAGGTAGGCTCCCTTTCAAAACCCATGAACTAAGATCTTTAAACCCCTCCACAATCTTTACTTGTCTTCATTCCCTAAACACTGCCCGCAGGTGCTGCAAAACATCGTGCTCCGAGATGGTGTGCTGTATGATGCAATCCGAGCCAACTCGAACCTATCCTCCCCACCAAGGCGTTTTTGAGTTTTCTCTTTCGCCGCGTGTAATTTCTTTTCGCCGTGAGTAATTTCTTTTTCGCCGTGAGTAATTTCATTTTGCCGTGAGCAATTTCGTTTCGCCGTGAGCAATTTCTTTTCACCGTGACAGTCGTGGGCCACCGTAGAAGTAAATACCCATACTGACATTAACTGAGTGAGGGTCTCAAGGGGAACCGAGAAGGGGCCGGGGGAAGGGGCCGGAGGAAGTGTAGCTTTGACAGCTGACGGTTAATTTTTCCAAATAACTTCGGACTTTGAATTCAAATCAGTAGTAACTAAATGCTGAATATAGAAAAATGGCTCAACCATACTTGACTAAATAAATAGTTCTTAACTATGTGGAGAACAAGAATTAGAAAATCGTCGATTGCGTAGTTGATTACGTCAGTTGTTGGCAGATGGACATGCTTGAGCGAAACGAATCTTAATAACCCATCCCGTGCGTATTCTCCATACTGTTCTCTATATATTTCCCTAATGCGTTGACAAGGAGAATTTGTTTAAGGATCAAGAGCGTCTTGAGTTGGTGATCATTTCCTTTATTATCGTGATCTGAATGTGTGATTCTGGCGAGGCGGGGGGGGGGTGGTGTAATATTATAGGGAGAAAGTAAATGCAAGTCACTCTTAGCCGGATCAAACAGTTAATTAAATTCAAAACTGAAATACCAGTAGATAAAATATTGGTCTTTCTAAAGCGCTTCATGCAATACATTACCAGCCTCGCACTTTAATCGGCTTAATTACACGTTACAAGGAACTCCGGTAAGAGGGTCTTAACAAAAATACATCCGGCAGTAAGTGTTGACCGAGTTTAACTTCACATTTTGTGGTTTGCTGCAGTTAGAACACTTAAAGCTTGAGTGTCGTAAAAACGAAAACTGAAGCAATTATAAAAGCCCATCATGGGAAGGAAAAGGACATGTTTCGAGGAGCCTTGAGAACTCGAAGTAAAAACAAGTCAACTGCCTAAACCGCGGGAAAACGCGATTGACCAAGTCTAAGTTTTGAATCTGATTGGTTGAAGAAGCAGCGCGAGTTTTCTGGACCAATCACACAACGAAGTAAAGCAAACGTAAAGCAATACCTGATTACTTTCGAAAAATCCTCTCAAAGTACGTCTTTGAGAGTTACTCAGGTAGTGTGAACTCCTAAGTACTTGATCAAAAAAACATTTCAGCCCTTTAATCCCTCATTATAAGAATGACATGACCTGCATCAAATTTTTCCTGACAGAATCACCTCTGAATCAAACATTATGGATGTAAGATTCTAGGTAATGATCATCTACTAAAAAAGCTCTTGATTGTAAAACAAATTCTTCCTGTTGGTACTTGAGGAATCTTGAGATAATAATATGAAAAATATGCATATTAAGTTAGGGTTTTATGGGTGAATCTGGTAGTGAATTGTACGTAGTCACCAATCCCGCCTCGAAGATTTCATTATTGCTTAGTTCATTTCCGAGTACCCGCCCAAGAAATCTAGGTATTGAATTGGAACCGTTTCTTTTAATCCATTTAACAAGCTTATTTGTCATTATTGAAATTCCTTATCAAGTGATCTTCTCCGCTGGGCGTTTTGTTGATTCGGCGGAAAATGCACTGATCAGAGAGGACTGCAGACTTTATCCAGGCCGGCATCAGTTTGATGACAACTATAATTCCTACACAGTTATGGGATCAACTTCGAAAGAAGTTTGCTGTAGCTCTCAAGCAAAATTTCTCTCGAATCCTGAGTTTAGAAGTCAAACCTGAAAAGAATCACTAGAGTAAAACAATACATTGATATTCCATACGTGATAAAACATTTAAAAAAGACATCGAAGAATACTAGTCTCTCTACCTTGAACTATGAAGTTTGTCGATGGGATTTCGCCATCTCCTAAAACAGAACTAGATTTGAATGCTTTGTGTAGATTTGGATATGTGCTGCTATTTTTAGGGAAATCCGGAAGCGCTTTGATTATTTACCAAACGAAAAGGCACAATACGAAAATTATAATTGGATTTGAAAGTAGTTAATTTGTCTCTTCAGCTGAGAGTCAGTTGATAGGAAAGATGTTTCTCAATTCGGCGAGAGACCGTGAAAAAATAAAAATAAAGCAACAGAACAGATACGGAGAATTGGATACTTTAACTCCTGAAGGTTTATCAAATTTTACATTTTTTAATAGCTTAGTACAAATACTTACAGTTTAAATAGAGTAGCAATAGAAGGCTATTCGCTCCGACGAAGGGCTAACGCTCGAAACGTCAGCTTTTATAATCGTAACGGTGGCCAATTTAAAATTTCAACTTTGTTGATATATTCAAATTATAGCAATAGAAGACTTTTTTTAAGTGTCTCAGTGAGAGGGTAAAGAAGTAGGCCATTTCATGTTTGATAGTAGAGAGTTCATTTTTTCCGAATGGCAGGTTATTAGGAGTATAATGAAAACGGCAAATTTTCTTTTTATTTTTCCAAAAAGGATGCATTAATATGTTTTTCGAATTCTGGAAGAGACCATTTTTCAAAAAAGAAAGAAGGGAGTTTTTACAGCATAAATGAAACTCTACTGCTAAAACTATGGCCATCCAAAACAAAGTCACCTCATTGTCTATTTCCTATACTTTCGTTGTTGACAATGACGGTTGACAGTTAATTTTTTTGATCATATCTCTTTGGGACCCCCTAAAGCTGAGTCAATTTTGCCTGTATTTCTGAGTTTCAGCACCACACGCAGTTATATATGTTATAACCACCATGGTTTCGGTTCTTTTTCCTTTAGGAACACAGTAATTAATGAACTGATAATATGCCGTAAAAAAAAAAAGGACGGAGTGCGTATCACTTAACCGCATTAGGATAGACAGGGAGGAAATCCTGACAGTGTGGAAACCGCAAATTGATTAATGATGAAGTAGAAATGTCCAAACTGAACAAAGGAAAATTCAAATTGCAAGTTTGAAATGTGTCAGTCTTGCTGAACCTGCCACGACATGTTTCTTAAGATTATAAATTGACCAAAATAGGTCCAATTTATTGTTTTTCTTGTTGTGTTTCGTGTTTGTTTTTGTTTTTGTTTTTTGTGATATAAAAAGCGCGGATTGAGTACGAAAGGGTGTTTTTGCGACTTTCTTTTGACATATCGTGGAACTTTTTCGTCTAAAGCCGCTCTCTTTCAATATCGAAGGATCGCTTGTAGTTTTAAATGAAAACATTTTAAACAAAAACTTCTCCAACGACATTTTTCTAAAGTGTCCGGAAGGCATTTCCGTATGTTCCTACCTGCCGTCAGGTAACCGACGGATTTTACCCGTGATGTTTTCAGTTTACTGAATTAAACTCGGTTACAGTACGTGGGATTATATAGAGAGAGCTCCATCCATCCCCAACTACCATTTTCCATTTCCGAAATTTGCACGCGCTCCTCTTGGCCCACGTTGCAAGCTGAGAGCATAAGTGGTTATTCTTAGAGGGCATCCCGCCTAATCAACCATGAGTTAACGGTAGAAGCTATCAAAACCGCTAAACACTTATGACGTCAACTTTGTTTGCGAATTTCCTCCATGGGCGGAAACTACTTCTTCACACCACGCCATTCCATTGGCGCGGATATCCATATGGTTCACCACTGAGACTGGTTGAAAGATATACGAAGGCGAGACCATATGGACGACATTAAAATTGACACACATGTCGCAGAGACAACTCTTGCTTTAACTTTTCAAAGAGAAACAAGACAATTATTTTATGAAAACTTTAGTCAAAGGACTTCATTTACAGCTTGTTGTGTTTTAGCAATGGGAAATATTTTGTTCGGTCTCAGATCTGGTGAAAGAAATAAGTAGAAGACATTTATCTGAGCCTTGCATCTTTCATTCTTGGCGTATCTTTCCTTACCAAAAACCGATGTATTTTTATCCATGTTTATATGATTGATGATTTAACCTCTCCGTGTGACGATTAAATGCAGACTGTCTGGTTTTTGAAAAATACACAGTTTCTAGTTACCGTACCGCCTTGGAAAATGCAAATTCCCAATTTGTTTCTGAGAAAATTATTTTTAACACTCTTTTAACAAAAAAAGATTCTCGCAAATCTTTAATCTTTTAGTTTCAAGTGTCGATAATGTTCTGGACTGTTCTGGTTTCCTTTAGTAACGTTAATTTCGTTTGTGTTCCGGCCCATGAGGTCACTCCACACGAAATGTCAATCAACCTACGGATGAAAAACCTATCAGTAGATTGTAACCTAATAGTCTCTTTCTATCTTTCTTTGTGTCAAGCGCATGTCTCGACAAGGTTGTACAGCAAATAATTGAACGGGATAAACGAGTCACTGTAAATCGTAAGGGCTTTACTAAAGAGTGATGAGGAAAGAGTTACTGCTTTTGTGGGGATTTCTTGTAATTTTATGCTTCAGAGACGTTTATGGAGGTGAGTAATTCGAAAGAGTTTTTGCTGCTCGTTTTCGTGGCGTTGGACATCACATACCACTAGACAATACAAAGTTGGTTCGGTATTCGGCGATAGATTGGAAAGATTTTGTGAGGAGGGGCTTTTTAATTCGGTCATTCGAATGATTAGAGATTTGGGGCGTTTCTGAATGACTTATAAGAGCGAAATACAGAAAATAATAGAGAGAAATCGAATGCGAACATGAAATATCGTAATGCACACGGTTTCGCTAGGTTTGCGATTAATTGGCACGAGCTGTTGAGCTCGTGTGCGCCAATATTTGTCTAATTTCTTAGTCTTAGTGTCTCACTGCATACCTTTAGTTTTAAATACAGTGGAATAGGGTAAAAGAATAAAAAACTAGATAAGAACCTTTTCAGAGCTCAAAACTACTTACAAGTTGGTATTCGGTGGAATGCTATTGCAAGTTATACTTCAAAGCTCGGTTTTAAATTTCCTGCATGTTTACATCAACGCTTTTGTTTATCCAACTACTCAGCCTAGCCAGGGAGTACTTTTAAATATTTTTCAGCTGAAAGGTTCTTTGCATTTGATGTTTCTAACCTAGAGGAGAATACCCCAAACACTTTTTTGTAGGCTCATGAATTGCAACGTGGCTTGAAAGTACGATTGTATAATTTGATTGAGAAAGTATTTTTTATTTCCGACATATGTACATACTTGTGTGAAAGGTCGGTTTAAATTCAACTTAAAAATAAGTGAGCATTCAATAATACAATTTTGATATTTTGTACATGTGTGAACGAAAATTGAAGCATGCTTTTCGGTGGGATAATATTTTCAGACCGTATATTTGTAGTAATCCCTTCAAATATTTGCCTTGCGCTATTAGGAAATTGGAAGTGTAACCAAGGATAATTTACCTTTCACTTTTTCGATCGTTTGTTTGCTTCGTTCATTGTGTTTAATACAGTGGGTTTTTTCAGTGGGTTAGCTTATTTGTGTCAAGTCTTAATAGGTCTTGGCGAGAAAACTGACAATCTCTTGGGAAAATGCCGTCCCTCTCGCGGAGATGGAAACCAGGAGCATTTGCCAAGTGCGTTTATTATCAGCAAAATTATCGTTATCGCTAGCTTGCTGAAGCCAGATGTAAAACAGTAACATTTCGAAATTTGCTCTTGGATAGAAGTTAAAATTTCGTTTTCGCGAATTTTGTGAATCTGTTTCAAATTTCGCAGTGCGCTCTGGTCACTGCTGTTTTTGTGGGATTTGTTGGTGTTGCAGAAGGTATTTTTTTCTTTTACTTTTTTTCCTTACGAAAATCAAACTTTCCTTCTTATAATCTTGATCGTAAGAGACTTCTACTTCTTTCGACTCACATGAAACTTTATTTTCATTTGCGTTGGAATGGTTTTCAGTATAACCTGATAGAAAGCGTAGAGTGCCTGTCCTCCGCGAAGGAAAACAGAAAATTTAAAACATGGAAAATATGCTTTTATGAGTCATTGTTATTTTAGGTCATTGACTCACTGTCAGCTTTTTCAAATACAAAACAAAACAAAATCTAAAGAGCTTATAGAATTTATTTCGGCTAGAAAGCCAGCCGGGATGCTTTGAAATGAAATGTAAAAACAACTTTGCGACCGAGTAGTTTGATATTTTAGGTAAACAAATTGCACATTTTCAAAGGGACCCACCCAGAATAATTGGTATTTTATCAAGAACAAAGCTAAGAGAAAAAGATGTACCTATTAAAAACTAGAGCAAAATAATCTAATTAGATTTATCGGCTTTATATGACTTACTTTGTCTTCCACTTTGTTTTGAATTAATAAGTTATTTTGCACTCTCTCGTTTTTTGTGTGATTTGTTAAAACTGATTTTGAACATTTATCTATGTAATGAGTTACCGAAATATGTTTTTATGTTGTTCCTGATGGATAATTTATCTTTCCACAAAAAAAAAAAGCATAGTATCCTAAGTTGTGTTGCATTTACATTTTTGCTGTTAGCAGATGTTTGTTGCATTCAAAGCTCTCATGTGGGAAAAAAATATCATTTTTGATACTTTTTACTGTACCCTTGTTCATTCGTTAATGCATTGCATATCTGGTGAGAAATTATTTATATCTGATGTGAAATTTTTTTCCCCAAACCACAACATGAAGAGCACCCTTAAATAATAACATGGCAGTCATGTTATTTGCTTAAGGGAAACTCTCAGTCTTCCATAGCATATACAAGACAGGAAATATCTATGGTTTGAGAACATTGAACCAGTGCTTGGCACCCAATCACCCACAGCAATGTGCTGTCACCTTTTCTATCTCCAAGCAATTTGTTTCTGTTGTCCTGTTTGGTGTTAATTTAAATGAAATCTGATGCAAAAGAAATAGACAATTCTTCTCATTTGCTTTAGTGAATATCTGAGGAAGCCAATCTAATGGGTACAGACATTAGGTTAAAAAGGGTGGTCACAAGATACGAAGCGTTAAAAAAAGTGTTACACTAATAACTGCAACATTTAAATTAGTTCTCTCTCATTGTTCCTCTAATTTTTTCTCCAATTTTTCCTCCTTTTCCTTGGCACCTTTCCATGTGCTCATGACAAAGGATCCAACTGTGAAAAAACAAATGTGGACACAAAGAATTGGACCCAGCCTCAGAAAAAATACAGTACAAAGGATTCTAAATAGTTTTAATGTTTATTGTATTTGTATAAGATGTTTCATTTCCCATTGCCCTCCCTCTCGTCAAATGGGTCAGTCAGTTGGGTTCTGACCTAAATGGATACTCCAAAATCAGGCTTCCAAGTAAGGACTGAAACCTGTTATTATTTTTCATTGATTACTTTACTGAAAAATAGGTTCCAGTCCTTACTTGGAAGCCTGATTTTTGGATTATCTATCTATTACAGGACTCGGGCAGTCACTGGGCCAATATCTAAAATCAACCAATCAAACTGCTCTATTGCCGGTCAATATTCTCTCAGTATTCGACCAGGCACTGTCCTGAATGATACTGCACTTGTGTCCCTTTGAACTTCAGTCGTATAATAAATCTCTTATTAACCAAGCTTGCTCGGGACCGTACTGGAAGAATATCGGCCCTTGGTCTTTTTTGTACGAACCTCACTGTGCTCGGTCTGTACTGTCAAGACCCTGGGCCAATATTCTCCCAGTACAGCCCTCGCACGTGGTTAATAAGATATATGTCATGACCAAGTAAGTTGATAAAATCAAAGGGAAACTATGATGCCCTCATGGATATACTGTGCAGAATATGATTAGAATATGTAGTAATTGCATTATGAGCCAATGATCCTGTGATTCCAAGTAACAGAAACAATCTGTCATCCTCGCAAGAGTTGATCTCCCATATTTAGCGATCAGTCCAACATCTTTAGTGAGATGCATGCTTTCCCCAGACTCCTTAGGCTGTGCTGATGCCACACAATTTGTGCATGGAATCTCCTCAATAATTCATTCTTGTTCTTTGCATATCCACAAGTAAGAAAGGGAAAGGAAACAAAAAAGATACGTAAGAATTCTCCAACAGAGTGTTTTCTCGTGCAAAAGTGCTTCCAACATGATATACAGGCTAGAAAATTAAGAAGAAACAATTTTATTTTGAACAAAATCTTGAACATTGGTCAACTTTTAAAATGTAGATGCGAAGAGGTGTTAACAAAGGGATATTTTGATGTTGTAATGAATAGGAAAAAATGCCAGAATTGCTTGCTAATTTTTTCATGCTTTTTTTAGAAAAGCTTTTATAATTATACTTCCTAAGGCCTATGCAAAATTATATAAATTTCTAAACAGTACTTTTACCCATACAGTGCAAAATGCATTGGTGTTTGCAATTTCCATCACTTATTTGTTTTTTCTCTAAGTGTTTATGTTTATCTTTGTTTGCTTCACAAGCTATCAAGAAATCTTCCTATGAACCGTTTGATAAATCACGCCATGAAAATTAAGATAAATATATCATTCTCCCATTTTCTTGAGAACAAGTGAAAATTTGTGGAATATCAATTTAAAACAATGATCATCTTCTCTCATTGGATTTTTCTGAAGCAGCATGTGCTCTTGCTTACTCAAGTCAAAAACAGTGCTGGAAACAAATTGAAACAAAACAAACAAACAAGAAAACAAACACTAGACCTGAGAGGAGATAGCTTTTTCAATATCTTGGTTCGGGATGAGACTAACACTGCCATCAGTGGTCAACACCTAAGCACCGGAAATGATGTGTGTCTGGTCTAGATCTGTTAGGGCAAAATTTGATTTAATTTCATCAAACTTAAACCAAGGTATTCACATCAGCCAATCAAAAGCAATAGGCCTTTTTACAGTTGTGTACTTAGTTGCCAAGCCTTTGATTCAGAGTGAGGCTGAAAGTGACCTTGTTTTGATAGAGAGCTGTATCTACTTAGCATGATAACAAAGTGATTTACATTTGAAAGGCAGCAAGGTTTTGTATCATAATAAGGTCAACCCTAGTCTCACTCCCATTCAAAGGCTTGGCAACCAAGCACACAACTGTAAAATGGACTATTGAAAAAAACACAATGATTCAATTAGAACTCAAAGTGAAAGCAAGCAAATATCATAGCGGGGGAAAACGCGCAGGACCCGCAAATCGCGTTCGGTTTTGCATCTGATTGGTTTAGAGGGTGGCGCGAGATTTAAGCCAATCACGGAGCGTAGTGAAGAAAAACGAATGCCACCCCGGATTACTAAGGACACTCAACCGTGAAAAGTGCCGAATTTACGTTACGATGTTGTGAGTCCTTTAAATCATCAAAGAGAATTGCGTTTAGATTAAAACCTTGAAATAATCCTTTGGTAGATTAGATGAACACGAGAGGGGTGAGAATAAACTAAAAAGGAACGAATGTGGGTTTGGATCGAGGAGATTGACACGGATAATAAATGACTACAAAATATTAGTTAAGTAAGGTCGAAAAGCACTTTAGAGACAACGATAAAGCAAGACGGAACGAGGATGGCTTAGGATTGAGAAGATTAACACGGATTGTAATTTGTCCATAGAATATTAATTCAGTGAGATAGTAAAACACAGTAGGGACAAATAAACCAATAAGCAACAAGGATGGCCAAGTATGGAGAAGATTTATACGGATTGTAAATATAGTCTACAGAATATTAGTTCGGTGAGATAGAAAACGCAGAAGAGGATAATAAACCAATAAGAAATAAGGATGGCCAAGAGAAGATTGAAGAAGATTTATATGGATTGTAAATGACGAGTTAAAAAGATAAGGATCTTTAAGCCTGAGCTCTGAAAGATAGATCAACCGTTATTATGCTTATTGTCTGTGATGCGTCTTATTTTTTATAACTGAGATAAGCCCTTTATTTTTGTTCTAATTTACTGTTGAATATGAGTTAAGGAATAGTGGGAAGAAGGAAAAAGAAAGTCATAAGAATCTGTCGTTTGCCTCAGCCTTTAAGTATACCTCTGTAACTGGTGTATGAAGTGTAGTGTGAACTTTCATAGATTTGCTATCAGAACCTCCTAGAAGCAAGAATGTGTCGCCTTTATCAATGTGTGGGATAAGGAATCTCTGACAACATGGCAGAAATGACACATGTTTCGTGTGAGACTCCCATCAAGATTTTTTGTTTGTTTAAGTTTCCAAAGGCAAGAAACACCAATACAAATATGACCACGAATTTGCGAGCCAGCTTCGAGGTACAATCTATCTCCTAAACGCTTTTTTATTTGTTGTTTTTGTTACTGTTACGCTAAAATGTATCCCTTTGTGGTATTGAGTCAGATTATCGTATCCTTTTGTGGTATGGGCTAGATTATCTAATTCAGAGAAATATTTGCTGTGTAATGGTTCTTACGTAGAAGGAGAGAATTTTTAAATTTAGGGACAACATCCTGGTGCCTTCAGGATTTACGTTTGTGACCTCTGTCAGGCATAATGTTTGTTCCATTTGTGGACAATTCAGTACAGAAGAAAAGATGAAAAGATGAAAGCAAACATGTCAGTGATGTCACTGTTGCTCGTGTCGTTTGAGTCACGTATAGTAGTCAACAACAAGAACCCTGAGCATTTTCTAAGTTAATCTTAAGAACATTGTGGAGTGTGCCTCCCCTATCAACGCTAAAATGGTCTTGGAAAGTTGTCGGCTATTAGCGCGCGGATGTTAATTTTAAAATCTCGCTAAAAGTACCGGATAAACTGAGCTAAGGGATACTGTAGATAGTCACCAAGTCTGAACAAGCGGAAAGATTTATTTGTTGAAGATTAGTCAAAGCAAGCTATCAAAATGACATCTGGGAAAAGTCTCGCATTCTTCTGATAACTGAACAATTATGTCATCAGTTCGCTTTGAAACTGGAAATTTTTACAATTTTGCACTGAGAAAGCTTTGATTTCTTCAGCTAAGAATAGTTAAGCATTTTATTTTACTGATCACAAGGTTTGATCTAATTTCGCTTATTTATTAGACAGGGCTTCCCAAAATTGCGTCGTTGTTTCATTCAAACCGAAATTACCATTTCAATAAGTGGCGTAGTATTTCACACCCAATGTTTGTATTTTCCGGTGAAAGATGATTAAAATTAAATTTCGTTTCTACGCTTCGACAAAAGAACGCGTAGATTTGTGATTTGAATAGGCGGATAGAATTATATGACTGAACAAAGAGAAAATGAACGCATTTTCTTGTCTTCACACCGCATCTCGTATGGGGGCATTGGTGATTTTGTTCTACATCATTCAGTTTGGTAGGTTTCGTAGGCTTCGTAGGCTAATCTTTTTATGTGTTAAGTAAATTACTTCGTAAAACGTTCTATACTTTTCAATTCAGTATGTGCGCCGATGGAGGAAGTTCATCTCGACAACATTAGAATCCATGTTCAATACGGTCGATTTGTAACAGTTTTTGAGTGAAACCATGAAGATTTTCAGGAATAAGGGACCAAATTCGGAGGTTATTTTGAAATCTCAGTTTTGTGTGGAAAACTAAAATGTGGATTTCTGTGTCTTTGTGTTAAGCCTTCCACTGACCATTGTACTCAAGTTTGCTGTTTTTTACAACTGATGGAGTATTTCGCTGACGATAATCACAGCTTACAAGAGGGACCACCAGAGCTTAAGTTTTTATTGTGCTTGTGTAAAGATCGCTAAATAAGGAAGCAACGATTTCGCTAGTCTCGCTAAAGCCAATTTATTTTCGGAAATTGCTGCGAGGTGGTTGCGATGTTGTGTGTTGACACACACAAGTGGGTTCGGTCTTCAAAGGAGAACGTGGTTTTAAAAGTTCTTTATCCTTGCATTGCCTTTGCGTGATCCGCCAGCCTTGGAGTGTCGGTAGTGACCAAAATTACTTTCTTTCCAAAACATTTTCAAGCTGACGGGTTACGAAAAAAAAGCGAAAAGATCGGCAAAGTGTTAATATTTTGATTTATTCCCAAATTCTTAGAGTTAGATGTATAAGGAAGAAATGTGTGGGAACAGTGCAGAGAAGTTATGGTTGGGTTCTTGGAATAAGAGGAGTCATTTGCATCGTGATGTTGTGAATCGGGGTTAATTTATACTGGGATTATTTGAACCTCAGAGATGAGGATGTTTGGAAAGAGTTGAAGGAGATAAACTTTATATTGATTCATCCATGTATCAAGTGTTTTGTTTTGTTGAATTTTTTTTCTCAATTTGAAGGGTGCTTCTCAGCTCTGGGAATGGAGTCTGTGCAAGGCAAGGTTAAAATCAAGGACGAACAGATCACTGCGTCTTCATCCAGAACGCGCGCATCAAGGCCGGCTTCAGCTCGGTTAGAGGGGTAAGTGTTCGCTTTTATTACCTTCTTTTAGATTTTCCTTTAACTCCCAGAAGCAGTGGCGGATCCAGGGGGAGGGTCCGGGGGATCCGGACCCCTCCCCCCCTATCAGACCTGACGCTTACAACTTTGAGACTGAAATTCTTACATCGACAGGATCTTATATCAATTTTTAACTGGCTGATTTTTTTTAATGAATCCAAGTAAACGGTAAGCGGCCAAGGCATTATAACTTGAAACCGCGACTAGTGAGAGGGGGTGTGGGAGATGTGGGAGAGAAGTAATCTGCCTCAAAAGAGTCCAACAGTCCTTTCTGAACCAAAGTTTAGACCGTCCCAAACAAAAATTCCTGGATCCGCCCATGAGAAGTGATTAACATTTAGCTTCTCCCTAAAATATCCATGCATTATCCAACAAACAGGTAACAAGAATACTCAAACTTATCAGATAGAATTTGTTATCTTGATCTGATCTAACACCAAATTCTCGTAACAAATCTATAAGGAAATGGGTATAAGATAGTGCAGATCTGTGCAGGGCTCCTTAGAGTGACCAGCTGAGAGTGACTAACATCTAATTTCTCCTAACAATATCACCCCTGAATCACACATTAAGGTCACGAGAATAAAGGAATTGATCAGCCAATGAGATGCAAAACTAAAACGAATCACGACTTGGTTGCCCGCGTTTTCCCGCGCTTGTTTTTACTTCGATTTCTTATTGGCGTTGAAAGATATTTTCCTTGTTGTTGCCGTTATGATTACTTTTAGTTTTAGTTTGACGACACTTAACGAAAAGCGCTCTACAGCAAGGAATGTTGCCCTTATTGAAGTTACATTTTACTTTTGCTTACCAGTAGAGGCGGTTGGTGTCCGAAAGAGTCAGATCACAGCCCGTATATTCAAATAGACCTTCTTACGCCTCACACCATCACAGAATTGGTTACACAGGGAGCCCTTTGTAACTACGTTGAATATTTCAGGCTAGCGTTTAGCTATGACAACTTAACGTGGTTCAATTACGCTGTCAATGGCAAGGTTAAGGTGAGTTGGCTTTACCTTAATGGCCGCCTCCCGGTTAGCTCAATGGATAGAGCGCTGGACTGTTGTGCGGGAGGTCGAGGGTTCGAGGAGGGGTCTTAAAATAATTGAGAAGAATTTGGCACCTTTCTGTAACATCAAGAAATGGTTAGATATTTTAGTCTTCTCGGATTTATTCCAAATAAATGGAGGTCCCGTCTCCTGCAGGGTTGGGGTAGGAGACGTTAATTTCCCACACACGAGATTACTGTGTGATGGATGTCCTCCCCTGGGGTGGGAAGGGTGGGAGGGTGGACTAGCACGAATGGTTCCTATGTTCCTTTCTAGTCCTTCCCCACTGCAAAACTTAATGCAGTGAAAGTGGACTAAATTGAATTAAATTAAATTAAAACGAAATTATGAGATGTGTGTGGTAGACCGTAAGGAGAAATGACGTTAAGAGAATGACTGTTCCACATACTTTCGTGTTAGGTATTCAGGGGCAATAGGAACTCGTTTATGCCCAAAAGTAACAATTTGACAGAGCCGCTGACCGCTCGTCTGAT